CGGCAGGGGCGGCGCGGGCCCGCGGCACCGTCCTGGGCGCTGCGCCTCACGACTGCTCTTGTTGAACAGGTTTGAGCTCGAGGCTGTGCTGCGGCCGGCTGGACGTCGGAGCCTGGGAGCCCTGGGCCGGAGCGGGGAGGAGAGTCAAAGCACAGGCCCTTCTGCCATTTCCTCTCGGCCGCTGTGAAATGACTTTGCCTGGACCCTGAGTCCTTCTCCCCATCCCGTCGCCACCTTTTATTTTGCCAGCCAGTGCTATGAAGTCATTCTCTCCTTCAGGACCGTCGTTGTGATGATGTGACTTCAGCGGGAGGCTAAGCAGGAAGCGAAGCTGGGCCTGAAACGGGAGGCTGTTAGAAGGCAGGTAGATTCACTGCCCCAGGGTGGGAGGAGAGGCGCAAGGTGAGTGGAGCTCCCTGCGCTTCAGGCCTTTCTGCTGCAGTGCTCCAGTCTGGGAGTATTGCCTTCATTCTCAAGTTCCTTGAATTCCCTCCTGTGAATCCCACCAAGGAGCAACTTTGACTGGGAACTGGCTTTACCTTGCTTGTACGCAGTCCTCAGTTAACCCAGGTTGGTATTTTCTAACTGCTTGCTGTATTTGCGAATTCTGTGCAATACTCCTGCTGTGTCAGATCACTGTCTAAACATCCAGAATCCTACATCTGCTAATATGAAACGGCCACTTACTGAGCACCATAAAATAACCTTGCTGAAGGGGAGTTGGTTGTTGGTTTGGGTCCTGAAAGGATGTTGTGTCCTTTTAAACTGTTTTATTTCAGATACTGTAGCTACTGGTATTTGATTCATATAAATGTTCTTGCCTCTCAGTTTTAAAGCTGGGGTAGGATGGACCATGTGGGGTTAGGGAGGGTAATTTCTCTAGTTTCATTACCTGTGAGATTGTTTTTATGTCATTTCTGAATATCATCCGTACCATTTTATGAGGGCAAATTAGTGAAATATCCTACTGTTAGTAAGGCATCATGATGAGTACCAAAATAGGTTTGGGCATATGGAGAGATGACACCATTATGCATTTAAGATCACTCCTCACTCTTTAATGTGTATCAGGTTGATCTGCTATAACTTCATCCGTCTCTTCTGTCCCATGGTAGGTGGATGCTAAACCATGGTCATTTTAGTGATTAGTTTCATTCAGGGGTATGCTGCCCTAGTTTAACTTCCACTTACCACAGGATAGAGCAGACAGACAAAACAGAGTAGATTAATATGTGTGCAACTGGTCCCATCCATCTCCTTTTTTTCAATGGAATGATTGTTTGGACTGCCCATGTCCTGTGGTGAGGTCTGTGGTGTACCATATGGAGTCAGGGGCTGGCTTTTTTTTATGCCACTTGCTACTGATGGGGAAAGTCTTCTTACTTCATGAGTAGAAGACTAAGCCAGCTATTTTTGCTGAACTCACAGGTACCTATTACTTAATAACTGGCAGGAAGGATGTAGATCTTGAACAGGGACTTGGAATAATGGCCTGGTAGGAATACCAGTACCATTCTTCTCAACAGCTGCAGCATGGTACTGGTAATTCACCAGGGTTTTGCCTGCACTTGGGCCTTGCTGGTTCTTCCCTTGGCTCCTAATGGATTTGGTCCTCTTAGTAATAGAACAAAAATAATACATCTGGAGGGATCAAAACCTCTTGCTGTTAAATGTGATGCTTGTTATTAGACTAATGAGTATAAACACAGCTTAAATTTTTAGTTTCCATTTTTTTCTTCCATAGTTTTAACCATGTCTGTTTGCAGCTTACCAATTACATGATGTGCTCTGGATAGATTCACTAAGAGACCCACATGTGGATTCTGTGTTCTGCCTGTAATGGGGTTAATGTTGAGAAGGGCCCATAAGGAAAGCAAAAATATTTGTTTTATAGGAGTTCTCTTGTTCTTCCCAGTCTCTAAATAGAATGCTGCCAGTGGAACTGTACAGCTGAGAATCTCTTCTTCAGGGTTGGATTCCATTTCTGCACCTGGATTGTCAGGCATGCTAACAAAGATAGGGACAGGAAGTAAATTCTGAAGCATCACCATGGACTGTTTCTCCCAGAGAGCTTGTGCTACTCAACCAGTCCTACTTGAATCGGAGAGCATTACTGATAAAATTGGGATTTTTTTTTTTAAGCATAAAGCAGCATGTATCCAGCACTTCAGTCTGCCTGACAGTGAAACTAATATTGCATGCTTAGTATGTCTGAATTCAGGAAGCTCCTGTTTCAGTTGCTGCTACAGATGTTTGTAAGCATTTTTGGAATGTAGCATTTTTAGTCAAATAGTTGTATACTCCCTTGAGAGAGCTTTACATCAAATAATCAAAAAAGGTTGGGGGTTTGTGTTGTGGCTAGAAAGCTACTGCCATGGTCTCTAGCCAGTGCTTTTGTAACAGAAACATTTATTGAAACCAAATCTGAGTCTTGCTTGTATTAATCCAATTAACTTGCATAGTCAGTCCTCTGCTGAGATAATTGAGCAAGGGATGGTGACAGGTCACCAGATGATCTTAATTTATGCCTTAAATGTGGCTGAAAGAATCCCAAGAGTATCTGTAAAGTGAAACAGCTGCTTGACACACAGTTGTATGCATGCATCCTCTTTTGGAAGACCATATCCAACTCACAGTGCAGGGAGCCAGAAAACAAGGCAGCTCATCACTGCAGCACAGCTTGTATAGTGTGAGTTAGGGACTCTGAAGAGAATGTCTAACTGGGTTGTGACAGGATTGGTCCCCTGATAGTACCAAATAAAACTTGGCCCACGTTCCTCCTATTTCAGACCCCCTACGTTTGCTTTGTTTTTTTGCGGAATAGTAAAACTGAGCCACAGCAAAAAGGATTGAATGTGAAGGTGTCTTGCTTACCTGTGGGAACTGATGTCAGCTGTCTTCTTCCCTGCAGAGCTGTTCCTTGGAGTGCCTCCATCACCTTTCACAAATGTGAGCGCAACAGGCCAGCACGGAAAAGGGCCTCCCATCATCTTCAAAACACTTTTGCTTTTGGCTTTAATATATATTCTTTTGTTGTTGTTGTTGTTGTTGAAACTTGAAATGATCTTGCAAAGGGTGCTTTCCATCTTCTCCTCCTGAGATTTGAGACTGGGCTGGATTTCCCATCCCCAAATTCAGGGCCAGCTGCTGGGAATTATATTCTCTTCATCAAATCCTTTCGACTGAGAAGCTGAAGCTGTCAGTGCTGAAATCCCATTTCTTTTTCCCAAGCATGTCAGAAAGCTGGCAACAGCAGCAGCAGCAGCAACAACAACAACAACAACAAGCACAACAGCAACCCCATCACACTGGAACAGCAGCACTCGCAGAGCATTCAATCCCTCCGACCACGGCTGAGAACGCCTTGGGTTGTGCAGTCTACGGCATCCTGCTCCAACCAGACCCCAATTTGCAGCACCACCAGCACCCACCGATCCAGGCTGGAGAACCCTCCCACAAATGTGGCGTGTGTGGCCATGACCTCACTCACCTGTCCAATCCACATGAGCACCAGTGCCTGCCTGGGCACGACCGCTCTTTCCAGTGCACGCAGTGCCTGAAGATCTTCCACCAGGCCACCGACCTCCTGGAGCACCAGTGCATCCAGGTGGAACAGAAACCTTTTGTGTGTGGTGTGTGCAAAATGGGCTTCTCCCTACTCACCTCCCTAGCACAGCACCATAACGTGCACAATGGCAATGCCATGAAGTGCTCCATCTGTGAGAAGACCTACAAGCCTCCTGAGGGGGAGCATGCCCAGCCCCTGGACCCATCAGACAAGCCATACAGCTGTTCCATCTGCCAGAAGACCTTCAAGCACCTCTCAGAGCTGTCGAGGCACGAACGCATCCACACGGGCGAGAAGCCCTACAAGTGCACCCTGTGCGACAAAAGCTTCAGCCAGTCCTCACACCTGGTGCACCACAAGCGGACACACAGCTCAGAGCGGCCCTACAAGTGCACAGTGTGTGAAAAGACCTTCAAGCATCGCTCACACCTGGTCCGCCATATGTATGCCCACTCAGGTGAGCACCTCTTCAAGTGCAATGTCTGTGAGCTGCACTTCAAGGAGTCGTCGGAGCTGCTGCACCACCAGTGCACACCCAGTGGGGAGCGCCCCTTCCGCTGTGGTGAGTGCCAAAAGTCATTCAAGCGCCCCTCAGACCTGCGGCAGCATGAGCGCACCCACAGCGAGGAGAGGCCCTTTAAGTGCGACCTCTGCCAGATGAGCTTCAAACAGCAGTATGCCCTCATGCGCCACCGCCGCACCCACAAGGTGGAGGAGCCCTTCAAGTGCAGCCTCTGCGAGAAGGGCTTTGTGCAGCCCTCCCACCTGGTCTACCACCAGCATGTGCATGGCATTGAGAACCTCTTCAAGTGCAATGTGTGTCAGAAGGGCTTCAACCAGTCTTCAGAGCTTCTGCGGCACAAATGTGTGCAGAACGCTGAGCGCCCCTTCAAGTGTACCGTGTGCAACAAGTCCTACAAGAGGTCCTCGGCTTTGCAGAAGCACCAGCTGTCGCACTGCACTGAGAAGCCGCTCAAGTGCACACTGTGCGAGAGACGCTTCTTCTCTTCCTCAGAGTTCGTGCAGCACCGCTGTGACCCAGTGCGCGAGAAGCCCCTGAAGTGCCCGGACTGCGAGAAGCGATTCAAATATGCCTCGGACCTGCAGCGCCATCGCCGGGTGCACACAGGCGAGAAGCCATACAAGTGCCCCTCATGTGAGAAGGCCTTCAAGCAGCGCGAGCACCTCAACAAGCACCACAGTGTGCATGCCCGGGAGCAGCAGTACAAGTGCATGTGGTGTGGTGAGAGGTTCCTGGACTTGGGCCTGCTGCAGGAGCACAGTGTCCAGCACACTACCGAGGGGGCATATCAGGTGGCTGCGTGCTTGCCCTGAGCTGCCCCCACAGGTTTCTGCTTGCATGTGAACCTCTTCAACAGCCCCTTCTCTTTTCTTGTACAAGGCGGATTCCTGGACCTTGGGAGGGCAGTGGGAGAAGATCTGCCAGTCCGGTTAGACATCATCCTGGCCTCTGTACATTTCCACCTGCATTTGGTGTTTTAGTGACGTGCAAAGCCCAAGAGGGGGCATGGAGGAAAAGGGAGGCAAAGGATGGAAATGAATCCTGTTCCTGTTTGTTCTCTCCTGGTTTATAGTTTACACTGCCTGTAAACTGTTGTCCTTCTCACATGTCCCCCAGTACCGAGGTCTCCTGAGAGAACTGGGTAACTCACCTTTTTTTTTGAGAGGCGCACAGGTCTCTCAAGCCAGGCTCCAGCACTACTCTCCTTGGGGGCTCAGGGGCCTTCCAGCTTACTAGTTCCATCTTAACAAGGTAGCTTATAAAGATCATTTTAAAACCACACTGTCTAATTAAATGCCCCTGGGTACTCCCCCATGTCCTAGTAGCATGCAGGAAGGAGAAGCTGTGGGACTGTTGTGCTCCAAAGGCACTGCTGCCTTTGCAGTCTTAGCTGACTGAAATCATGCAGTAGCTTTGAGCAAAGGCTCTATTCCTCTTATTGCTCCCCCCCTCTCCCCCATAACTCTGGAACTGAGGTGGGGCATGAATGCTACACATTACTTAAAGAAACCACAACCCCTAAGGCTAACCCCTCAGGCTAACCCCTCAGGCCACCTGTATTCCTGATTGGAATAGTCTGAGAACCCTTAAGCTTCCAAGCTGCTCATCTGGGGACACCTTGGACTTTCCTAAGACTTACAGCTGTCTTGAGGGACATTGCCATGGTAGGGTCTTGCAACTGCTGCCAGCCCACAAATCCTTTTATAGCACTTAGCAACGCACTTGGATTGGATGTAAAATAGTAGCCCTTGCACTTGCATTGATGCGTAAACCAGGGGGTTATAAGTAGCAGTAAAACACCAAGGGGTGGGGAAGATGCTACTGCTAAAGTGCAGTCTCCTGGATTCCTACAGAAGAGATGTTTATTTGGAAATGAGCTTAAGGGTATCAAATCGGGAGTTCTGAAATTATAACCCAAATTCCACATCCAGGGAATTGCATCGTGACCTTTAGGGTTATGATTTTTCTAGTTCTGTTTGTGGAGGCTAATCCACATTTACGTAATTGTCTCTTTGGGAAGAGGCAGGTTGGCAGAAGATAAGGGAATGAAAACTTTTCCTAGTGAGATTCCCTATGAACTGATCTTCTTCTTCCCTTGCCCCTTGCAAATTTTCTAGAGAATCATATAGTTCATTTTATTGCAACTAAGATAAATGCCTAGACCCCAATACAAATTCCCTATCATATATTATTCTGCTTGATGAAGCTGCCCAAAAGCTACCAGCTGCACAGTGTTGTTGGCTTCTCACGACCAAGGTTCATCAGCTGATATCTGGACACTTTTTCCAGGCAAGGGGCATGCCCATTGGATTACCCATAATTGTTTCCTTCCTCCCACTTTGCTTGGCTTGGTTGACCAGTGTTTGTTTGAACTGGGAGTGTTGTAGTCTGTTGTAATTATTGAGAGCAGTGGCCATTCAATGGTCTATACTGGAGAGGGGGTCCGTATGATAAGTGTTACAGTGGAACAAGATGCCTCCGTTTCCTTGCAGAAGGCTGGGTTGTGCCTGTTTAGTCTCGAGAGATTCAGATGATTCAAATGGAGGAGGGAGGGCTTTCTTCTCTATTACAGTTTCACTTCCTGCATTGCAAAGAGGACCAGAGCTTGTTTCCTTGAGGGGGCTGGAACCATTTGAATGAATGGGGCGGAGTTCTCTTTTCCTCATTCGCAGCTTTAAGAACGCCAAAATAAACCGTGTTCTCTGATGCCCAAGGAGGAGTGACTGATGCTCATCATATTTCATGCTGCCTCAGATATATAGAACCTCCTCCTATCAAGTTTTCTGTCTGCATTGTTATTTTTTTCCATTTTGCTTTTTTAAAGCAGTTTGTTAATATTCATTAAAAAGAAAAAAGAATCCTGTATAGTTTAATTTGATGTCATTTTGGATCTTTAAAAAAAGAGATGTGATAACTTGGATTTTAAAAGAGATATTCAGTTCTAGGTAGCTGTTTTTGATGTTTAATATATAGTGAGTTCAGTGTATGTTTAATTGTAGGAGTAAAATATGAAACAAGATCAAGGCAAGTTCATCTTGTTCAGGTCTGTCTTTGTGAATGGCTTGGGGGTGGGGGGGTGGTGCTTGAGGCATCGCAAATGGAAGGTTAGATTCAGGAGGAATATACTAAGAAACCAAATTTTAAAGTCCATTCAAATATAACAGACCTGGCCGTGGAGGCAAGTTTTATTGTTCCAGATGCAGAAACCTTCTGTGTTTTACACTAATTTGCACAAATGCCTTGGGAGGTCCTTTGGGAATGACCCACACTTCTGAATGGACTCAGAAGTGAATGCATTCATTTAAAATTAAAACAAAACAAATCAAGAATGTGTCCCAGTGTTCTCGCTGGAGTTATTTTGACAGCAGCAGCTACTGACAGTTTAAATATACAAGTCAATGTTTTGCATTAGTGTTTGCCACTAGAGTTGCAGTAATAGACCTCACTCACAGTTGCTCTGCCAGCTGTTGTTTGAACTGCTGGGGAGAGACCAAAATGTGGATTAATGAGGCCGTACTCTAGCTAAATAGCAGACAATAGGTTTTATTATGGGTGGTAAATACCAGTCCCTTGAGATAAGAGAGGTGCGGATATGAATATATAGTAGGGAGTGGCTGTGCGGTTCCTGCAATCTCAGTACTTTTGCTGTGAGGTGCCAGAAGGGGGAGGGGGCAATCACTAAGCAATACTGTTGTTATTAAGAAATAATTCTCCTTTTTGTCCCAGTTTGATTTCTGACCTATTGCTGTAGGGGTCCAGCAAACTCTTTAGCATTCTGTCTTTTCAACTCAGTACCTCTTCCAAGCTTTAGGCCAGTTTTAGAAATGGGGAACCAAGCTACACTTAATTTTGTTTCCTCCTGGCAATAGTGCTCATTCTGGTTGTGTTTGGCTGTGTGCTTCTGACTTAGAGCCAAACAGTGAGTCATGTGCTGGACTTCTCTAGACTAGCAATGCTGGCTGGGCAGTACAGTGTATCGTGGGTATCCTGACCACCTGCTCCAGCCCTTAACAGGTGCTCTTGGTGACAGGAGGGAGCAGTAGTTGTGTCTGTCCTGTGTATAAGTTGGTCTCGTATATAGAGACAGGCATGGGGAGGTGAGGCTTGGTACTCCACTGAGAACTGAGGGTGAGGGTTGGTATTTCATCATTCAGGTGGAAGATTTTGCTCTGTCCTAGCTGAGGGTGCTTTCATTTGGAAAGTCACTGCTGGTAGCACTTGCCAGAGGCCTGCCCCTGATGCTAGTGATGCGATAGCTCATTCTATCTGTGGCAGGTACAGGATGTTACTTGCTAAGTGGAGGAAGGTTTGAGTAGGTGTGAGGGCCCAGCCAAGTGAAATTTTCAAACAGCCTTGTTGAAATCAGGGAAACTAGGATGGATTAGGGAAACCAGCATGGGTTTGTAGCAGCTAGATCATGCCTGACCAATCTGGTTTGGTTTTATGACGGGGTCACAAAATGCTTAGATGCAGTAGAGGTGGATGTCGTCTTCTTGGATTTTAGCAAGGCCTTCGATACGGTATCTCATCCCATTCTCATGAATAAATTAAGAGGCTGAGACACAGATGGTTACACAGTCCCATGGGTGGCAAATTGGCTTAGCGGTTGCACCCAGAGAGTGGTAGTAGATGGGTTGGTATTGACCTGGAAGGATGTGGGTAGTGGGGTCCCTCAGGGTTTGGTCCTTGGACCTCAACTCTTCAATATCTTCATCAGTGACTTGGATATGGGCATGAAGTGTACTTTGTGCAAGTTTGTGGATAATACTAAATTGTGGGATGAAGTGCACACTCCAAAGGGTAGGGAATGATTGCAGGCAGACTGGAACAGGTTAGAAAAGAGGGCAGTACACAATAGGATGCAGTACAACAAGGACAAGTGCAGAATGCAAAAATATCCAGCATACTTACTGGCTGGGAAGTGACCCTCTCAGAAGCACAGAAGCAGAAAGGGATTTCGGAGTTATAGTGGACTCCAAGGTGAACATGAGTTGTCAGTGTGACAAAATCATCAGCAAAGCTAACCGCACTTTATCATGCATCAGCAGATGCATGACAAATAGAACCAAGGAGGTTATACTCCTTGCCCTCTATGTGGCATTGGTCAGACTGCAGTCAAAGTGCTGCATCCAGTTTTGGGTGCCGTACTTCAAGAAGGTTGTTGGTAGACTCAAGAGGGTCCAGAGGAGGGCCACTCATATGGTTAGGGGCTTACAGGACAAACCCTACGAGGAGAGACTGAGGGACCGGGACCTCTCCAGCCTCCCCAAGAGAAGGCTGAGAGGTGATGTGGCCGCCTACAAATTCATTAGGGGAACGCAGCAAGGGATCGGAGATGCTCTGTTCACCAGGGCACTTCTTGGGGTAACAAGGAACAATGGTCACAAACTGACAGAGAGCAGATTTCGGCTAAACATCAGGAAAAACTTTGCAGTAAGGGTGGCCAAAATTTGGAATGGGCTTCCAAGGGCGGTGGTGCTCTCCCTTACCTTGGGGGTCTTTAAGAGAAGGCTCGATAGTTTCCTGTCTAGGCAGGGGGTCAGACCCATTGATCTGTTGAGGTCCCTATGAAATTTTGAAACAGCCTTCTATCTTCTCCAGAGACCTGTGCAACTCAATACAATGCATCTGGGCCTGCACTGATGTGGTGTGTTGTGGGGATGAGACCATTCAAAGGGGGCCTGCTGCTTCTATTAGCACATTCCTGTGCTTGGGATAGAAATACAGAACGGGCCCTGCTGGATTACGGCAGAGCAGAGACTGCTCTAACTAACTTTGCTTCCTGTGGTCCTTGAGTGAGGGCCAGTGAGCTCTGGCCAGCATGCTGTGCTTGGTGTCCCGCTTTGGAGCACTTGTTATTAACCTCTGACCCTCATTCCTGTCACTGTTTTTGCATTACTTGTCCCAAGAGCTCTGTTGGTGCACACTTCCTAGCCTGCTCTGTTTCTAGAGGGGCGAACAGTTTCTGTGTGGGCTTGTGCCCAAGATTATTTCTGTAGCAGATAGGCTTGTGGTCCTTGAGGTGGATAATGGTGATGCATTCCAGCCCTCCTCCTCCTGCTCAGTCCTCTACTCAGGGAACAAATGTGCTATAAGAGCCCTCAGGTTAGTTCTGTGTTACCTGGGCAAGGGTTAATTTCTGGTAGCAGTTCTCACTTGCATAAGTCCATTTCATGCTGCCAGAACACCATTAAAATCATGTTACAAAATCAAGCTCAAGGTTTCTTGAATCCATGTTCAGTATGTGGAAATGTAAAGTATTGCTGCAACATTCCCAGCTGGAGGGTTGCATGTATCAAGCCTGTGTGCACTGTGGGCTGTTATCGAAGTCTTCCACTTAGTGCAGCTGCATCCTGATGAAGGGGAATGTATTGTAGGGCTATGGAAATTTCTGGGAGCTAGTAAGAATTTGAACCCAAAATTTAAAGCCTCTGGTGCTCAAGGTAAGATTTCAGGAGTAAGGATTAGGTACCTCAAAAATGACCAGCCCAAGCACAGGAATGCTAAACATGTTCCATTATTTTTTGTGAGGCCACAGAAAACAAAAAGGCCACTGATTCAGGTACTTAGAAAAGGAATTAGAACTGTAAGCACCTAGGTTTGCAGAAGTTGGCCTTAAGCTTTATCAATCCTCATGCAAATCAGTTGAATTGGACATGAGTGGCCTCAGGGTTGTACTCAATGTGTTTTGCTTGGCCAGAGGGCAATTCTGTTCTATTTAAAGGGGGAAAGAAAATGGGTAGCTTAGATGATGGCATCTCCTCCAGGAGCAGGTATGGGTGAGTGGGTGTGTGAGCACGTTTCATTGACAGTGTTTAAAATGCTGTCCCTGGGGCAAGGGGGAGGAGGGAGGGTTGGGGGACAAAGTGGATTATAGAGTGATACTATAATCCTGATTTATTTTTGTAAGGTAAAAATAACTGTTTAAGTCCAAGCTGTTCCATTAAATATGTTCTGAGCAGGGAGAAGACGGTTGGTCTCCATTGCTGTGCCTTCCAGAGATGGTTTGTTTTCTTTATTGGAAAAAGCGGTAGAAATAGTGTGGAAGAGAATTCTGAGAGGCACCCACCTACAGTGACCGGCAGTGTGGGGACTGGGGTGGGTTCTTGGTGTTGGTTCAGTGGCTGCCTTGTATAAGTGATTGACAGACACCATCCTATGGGGCAAAAGGGATCTTCCACTGTTAACTGTTTTTCAGTTGGTGTTTTTACTTTCAAACCAAAGAGCAAATGTTGCCAAAGCCTCTATGGAGTAAAAAATGTTAAACTCTGTTTGTGTGTTGCACTTCCTTTCTCTCCCATCTTCAGTTTGTTGTGAGAGACTCCAAGTGTCTCTACACCTCCTTTCTCTGCCTTTAGATGCTCCTAAATTTTCTTACCCAACGGTGTTGCACAGGTTACATCAAGGTTTATCAGAGCCCTCACAAAATGTTTTCTAGCAAAATAAGTTTGGCAGACTGAAGTACAGGATGTTTTGCATGAGAACCCAGGGACAGTAGCTGAGCACTTGAGACGTTTTCTGATAAATGGTGGCAACATGTTAAATGCGGCTGATCATCATGGACTTCATGCTAAGAGACCAGAAGAACAGGAATAAAGGGATGGAACTTTGAACCACCCAGAGAAGATGGGAGGATAGAGATGTTTCTATCATACCTCAGCAATTAGGGACCTGCAGATTCTGTCTCCAGCTCTTCACAGCTGATGTGTGCTTTCTAATCCATTATTTTCTGCCTCTTGTCTGCTTATTATAAGCATTCAGAGTTCTTTGCACCGCACGTTGGCTTCTTTATTTATAAATCATGTATTATTTTTTACTAAGGGTCTTCAAAAATAAATTATCTAAAGGTCACAGACTGCTAAGCTGGGAGTTAGTCCTCCAGCTTCTGGTGAATTCTGATAAGATATGGGCACCCCCCATTTCAGTCCATACCTACAAAGCCCCACTGAACCAAAGTTAGGAGAGGCTTGGGCTCTGGTGGCCATGTTCCTTGGCAATTGGAGTCCTCAGCGATAGTACAGGTAGGCACATCAGTTCAGCCTTGGTGTGTGCTGGTGGTAAAGTATAGGAAAAATTTGAAGAGATGTTTTGCCCAGTCTTGTTTGGGAAGAGAGAATTTGGAAGGCTGGGGGGAGACTAGTGGACGGTGTGTTGTGCTGATAAGCTAGATGAGTCTTCTGGTCTTACCAAGATGTGAAGCCTCCCTGGTGACAGTTATACAATCTCAGTCCCATATCTGGTGACTATTTTGAGGCCTGATGGTGAGGGAGAGTGTCCCTCTTAGATCTGAGCAGGGAAGTATTTTTTCACTGCTTGTGTGGCTGCTGGCAGAGTTGGTGTGGGTGAAGATGGACAATGAAAGGCAAATCTGCAGGAGAGATGAGGGGAGAAACCATCTTATAACAATAGGTTTTTACGGTCTCTTGGCTGTCCTCTTAACACTCCTGGCTTGCTTGGTGTTTTGGAGAAGAGCACTCTTTATTTCCTTCAGGCAGTACCATCAACCCAGAACTGCAATTAGTAACAAATTGCTTAACAAATGAAGCAAAAAATCAGTCTTATTCTCCGGAGTGTTTCTCTTTTATGAAGCTGTGACACAATGAGTTAGCTTATAGGAAGATTTAAGTTCCTTTACACACATTCATAATGTAGAGATGCAATAATGACAGGCAAGTCTGAATTTTGGGGCTACAACTCCATTGTGAGGTTCTGACCACTCAAGCATCTCTTGAGGTTTGTGATACTCTTTGTTCCTTGATAGCACCCTATGGACATCAGGGAACTGAGCTTCACAATATCCCTAGACCTCTGAGAGCAAATCCTCCTGCTGGAACCTCAAGGTGGAATTCTAACCCATGACTCCATGTGCTTGTCTCTAAACTTTTATAGGATCAGTGGATCTGATTGCTTTTCAGGGGCAGTTCTTCATTGCCAGGGAGCTGTGTCAATAGCAGAGGCATCTTTGGGGCCCTGATGGGGTGAGGTTATTGATAGTTCCTCAACACCTATGCCTGTAACTCCAGTTCTGTGACCTAGCAGGGCTGTGTGAAGTTGCACCCGCGAGCAATGAGGTCTCTGTGTGGCTTGCAGTGCCTTTAACACTGCTCTCCATGTGTTTATAAGACTATATTCGATACATGTGTGTATATATGTACATTGTATTAACCTGTCCAGCTCTTCTGTGTGAGTGTCAAATGGTTTTGCTTTACTAATAAATTTATAGTTATTTATACCTTCCTGTGGGTGTGTAAGATTTCTAGAGGTGGGAGCATTATGCTGGGGGTTTGCTCTTGGTAAATCTATTCCTGGTGCTGCTCATTCTTGAACTTTGCTGCCAGGGATCAGGGAAAAAAGATACTGAGGGGTTAAAAAATGGGAGCGAAGATCTTCAATAAGAAGTTTTCACCTGCTGTGAGAGAGGTTTTATTGCCAAAGATTTTCCTGGATATCAACTTGGCAGCGACAGCTATAGGTGCTCTGAAAAACCAGTACAACTAGCGATGGTTTCATCAGTTCTCAGCCTTTTTTAGACATAAGGCACTTCTTGATAGACTCAGGGCACCCATCAAAGTGCCAGTTCTTTTCATGGCATTTCTTCAGACCTCTCCCATGATCTCCTTCTAAACAGTTCTTTCTTACGACTGTAGAGTGCCTTGTATCTATTGATCTGAAAGCATTTTGATAAAATAGAGGCCATTACCTATGTCACGTAGAAGGGAAACTGAAGACATGGCAGGGAGGCATGACTTGCCTGAGATTATCCTGGTCTGCAGGCAGAGAAGCACTTGTACCAAAATCCTTGACTCTGTAAAGAGAGAGTGAATAACACTGCTGCATTAAAGATCCAGTAGATGAGTGTTTCTCAACTTTTTAAGTAGCGAGTACCCCCTGACTTCTGAAAATGTTAATAAGTACCCCAACACTCAATTTTGCAGGGGATTTTCTATTTACAGACTATGTGCCATATGTTGGAAGAACAGCTGTGTGCATAAGGCTGTGATATAACAGATGTCTGATCTGACCAGGGGTGCACAACTCAAGTATGTACCTGGGCCAGAGGTGATGTTTGTCAAAGCTAGGAGGGCTGAACCAGATTATTACTGGGGAATTTAAAGTGCTGCGCAATGTGTCACACACCAAATTTTTTGCCATAGTTTTGAGAGGAAAAAAGGGCAAGAGAGCAAGTGTTGGGGTAAATGTGTACCCCCTGCCTGTCTCTCGCGTATCCCCAGGGGTATGTCTACCACAGGTTGAGAAACTATGCAGTAGGTCGCTGCAGTGGAAAAGAACTTCCATAAAGGAACAGTGTACTGTTTCTCTGGAGAGTACTCTCTCCTAGAGAAATGGGGGAAGTTTACACACAGGCACAGAACTAGTATATCCATTGCATATTGTATGTCTAGAGCCATTAATTATGAGACTTTTTTTTTTTTATTGTAGAAGTGACAATTGCCTGAGGCAATGGCTACACTGCAATCATAGCAGGGACTGCAGCAGAGGTGTCTTGCCTGGGCAGCATCCTGTGTATGGCTAGGAAAGCTCTAATTAAAGGCCTAAATACATCAGGAAAGTGAGGCTGGCAACTGAGTTATGTAGCTCTCTTTCCTCCAGGGCTAGTATGAAAACAGTACCGTGGCATCATGCTTGAGGGCTCTGTGCCACTGAACTTCCTGGCTTTGGATAAGACAGAAAATGCCTCATTCTTGCCACATGTCATTGTAATTTCTTTAGCACAACTTTCAACCTTTGGGATTGTGCCCAGTTCAAATGGGGTGAAACCCTTCATTGCTGTTGTGCTTCCTTCTCCAATAGGTTGTTTCCAGTGTAGAGATGGGAAGGTGGAAAGCTAAATTGTGTGTTTTAGGCACATAAAAAAATGCTGCTTTTTTAACTTTACAGTTCTGGAGTGTTGGATAATATTGCGTATCTTTAGGGCATGCAACCTAAAACCACTGCCAACTGTTGACTTCTGACTTGACTTTTGACACTGAATTAGTTAAATGACCATAAAACCATAGAATTTGCAGTGGTCAGATTGGGAAGCCCTGGCTAAATTCTAACTGGAATAAGTATCGGAGCTGGTCAACTGATGGGGAAAATGACTGCTTCTGGTTTTAAACTTCTTCCTGTTTACTCGGGTTCAACATCAGACCCATTTGTCTGGGTGATGGACATTTTTGCAGTTTTCTAATTAAAATTATATTGAAATAGCTTTTGAAACAATTATAGAAATTTGTCATCTGCTAAAATCCATTTTCTTATTGGAAACAGGGCTGTCAAAAAGGACCACTTTCCATAATTAAAAAAAATGAGTAAAATATGTCAACTAAGACTACAGAGATGGGAGAATTTTCACAGCACTGGCAATCTTTCATAAAATTTGATATTTGAAAGGAGATGTTCTGTCATAGCAAAATCTATGGTACACAGAATTTGACCAGTTCCAATCATTTCATTCTGCTTCTCTAAAATTCTTCCACCAATTTTACTTGCACATGGTATTATTCTCATTGTTCCTAACTCCTTTGCACAGTGCACCTTTAGACTCTTTATGGGCTATTCTCTTTATCCCCAAAATGATCTTATTTCAGGAAAGCTGAAGACCAGAGGTCTATTCTTGCCTCTAACTGATCAGGTGAGATACCATTGGACTCTCCTCATTTGTCTCCTTATGAAAGGACACATCAAGATTTTTAAAAGCAGGTGCATCTTTAGCTTGCTCCCTGGTGGGTGGGGAGGGGGAGAAGCACTGCCAGAACAGGGATTTGCTTGGAGCTAGCCCTCCTGCTCTTCAGGACAATATGACCTGGTAGGGATCATGGAGACCAAGTGGGACTCCTTGCATAATTGGAGTGTAGCTTATAGTTTCATAGTAGCTAGGGTCAGGAGGGACCTGAGCACATCATCTAGCCTGACCCCGTGCCACAGGCAGGAATGAATGCTGGGTTCACAAGACCCCAGACAAGTGATCATCCAACCTCCTCTTGAATTTGCCCAAGGTAGGGGCGAGGACCACTTCCCTGGGAAGTTGGTTCCAGATTTTGGCCACCCTAACTGTAAAATATTGCCTTCTGATCTCCAACCTAAACCTATTCTCCATCAGCTTATGACCATTGTTCCTTGTCACCCCAGGTGGTGCTGGGGAGAGAAAAGCTCTGCCTATTTGCTGTTGATCCCCCCTGATGAACTTGTAGGCAACCACCAGGTCCCCCCTCAGCCTCCTCTTGCTGAGGCTGAACAGGTTCAGGTCCTTCAGTCTCTCCTCGTAGGGCCTGTTCTGCTGCCCTCTCATCAAGCGGGTGGCCCTCCTCTGAACCCTCTCCTGGCTGGCCACATCC